ACTGTTATAGTTAAAATCAACGACTTGTAATATGTTGAATTTTATACGATTCCATATATATATTTAGATGTAAAAACTATAACCATTGAAAGCAATTAATTTCCACTAAATAAAGAATAAACAAGGTGGAAGATGAATTAATGAACTAATGTTTACTTTTGGGAAATGAATATTGAAAAGAAAAGAAAAAAAAAGAGTTTGAAGATGTGACATTCACATGGAAATAGGCTTTAGAAAATATAGAGGGATGGTTGCACATGTTGTTTGCCTTGCTGTTTTTAGGACAAAACCCCATCATTTATGAAGGTTTTGGGTCCATTTTTTATTGAATCCTGCTCCAAATCAGGACACCTTCACGTACCAATCAATCTTGTTATAACCTCTTCTCACTTGTCCACTTCTACTACTAGCTACCTCTCGCGTGACACATTACTTGAATTCATAATATGTTAGGTTCTACTTGTACTATGTAATTATAACATATATGATAAAACTATAATAAGTTTGAAAAATAATTATTATGTTAAAACTTGTGGGACTTGTGGTGAGTGTTTATATAAGTGTGTTATTGATGTAGTGGCTAACCTAGGTCAATTTTTTTTTTTACATTTCATACGGAAAAATAAAAGAAATAAATTATTTTACACTACAAAAATCATAATATGAACCTAAACGATGATAAAGTGTGATTGACTTCATCTATCTATTGTTAAATCCAAACCATAATATATATGAATTTTACAATTTTTTTTTACAATTATTAAAAATTCAAATTATGAACTGTATTTGATTTTATCTCCGCTTGTTTTCTGAATCCAAAAAATCTGAACCAAAACTGAAAAAAAAACTAGATATATATAAACATTACAAAACAAACCTAATTTAAAACACCTCCAATATTGTAGTTAATCAAGTCATTTGGTTGGCTAATCTTGAGATAGCCGAGTAAGTACCACAGCAACCACTCACCAATCCGAAGAGAATAATGAACATGCATAATCCGATCTGATCAAACAACACACACAAAAAGACCGGTTCAAAACTAAATAAAATTATCAAAAAGAACCAAATCATTACTTTAGAATATTTATAACAAAAAGGAAAACAATCATT